CATGGTTCTGTGCGTCTCATATTTTATACTTCCTAGTGTGGGGTCCAAGGCTAGACGGCGGTGGGAGTGAGTGGCAAGAGTGCTAGGACTCAGGCAAAAGTACTTCTCTCGCAGCTCGGTGGTGTTAAGCACCATGATGCCATTTAGGGTGGGTCAGGGTCCCAGAAGACAGGGCACTATTTCTCAAGGCATAGACCTTGCGTACTTGTCTTGAGGTGATCTTGTTCCAGATCTCCTGAATCAGAATAAAGATGGATGTGATATGGGGAATGTATCTATTTTGTAAACTCCTTTGGGGTTTTAAGTAACCTTGTAGTTTATTAAGCAGAGCAATAGAAGGTCTTCAAATTAGATACTCCAAGTCCCTCCTTTCCAAATGCCAGCTAAGAATAAAATAATAAAATAATAATAGGCAATGGAAGTCTCTCTTTCTGATTGACTGCCATACAATGTGTGGTGATATCTTGTTTGTACAAATAAGAGTGTCTGAAGAAGAGAGTGGAGCTAGCCATAGCTAACCATAGAGGTCTGGAGGTCTGTACAGACAGACAGGAAGTGAGATGCCTGGGAGGAGAAAGGAATATGGGCGAGAGGAAACAGGAACTCTCTCTCTCTTCTGCTGGGAAGCTAGTAAGGTAAAGGTGGCTTTGGCTTGCTCCTCCTTCTCTCTGATCTCTCAGCAATTTCCCCTATATCTGACTCTGGGCTTTTATTATTAAGACCATTCAGAACACGTGTTACAACAATGCACTAGTAGAATGACAAATGGAGATATGGTTCCAGCACTTAGGGAGCCAGAAAGAAGACCACCTCCACAATTTGCCAAATTACCAGATATGGGCAACTTGAAAAGGGAAAGATTCCTTTTGGCCCATGGTTTCAGGCGGGTTCCGTCTGTCATGGTGGAAACAGCATGGCAGGTAGGAAGGAAAGGGAGCGTAGGTACCCTGGTGCTCATGTGGTTTGCTTCTTTCCCCCTTTGCAGTGTGCTCTCATAGAATGATGTCAGATAAAATCGTGGGGCCTGGAAATGTTGAGCAGGGAGCAGGTAAAAGAACAAACACAAAGGAAAGGTACCTGTGCCTAGTGATTGTGTGTGGGGGGGTTGGGAGTTTAAGCTCATGATCATGCAAACTGAGGGAATTAGATTGGTAAGTAGGTGTCTAAGAACTGACCTGTATCCCAGATTTTCAACAAGTTCCTGCTCAGTCTATTTCATAGCAGCATGAGGTCTGCACATACACCCTGGGAACGCAAAGGGATGGGAAGTGCCATAAAACCCCTTCCTAGAAACCAAATGCCAATGTTTCCCACTCCATAATGGCATGCTCACAGATGAAGAACCTTAAAATAGTTCTTATTATCCATCCCACCCATGTGGGTGTTCGCTGTCTTAGCCCAACTCAAGTGGGACCTGAGTAATTGCAGAGAAGGGGAAATGAGTATTTTTCTAAAACAAGATGCATGTTCTTTATTGTGTAGGGGGAAAAAGTTAACTTGAGGAAACCACACCTAGGTTGTACAGACTTCTCTCTAGCTCGCTTATCACATGGTGAAGTGGAGAGGTAAGGGCAATTGTCATTCCCAAGAGGCTTATTGCCCATAACTCAATCTCCCTCCTGGTTTTAGATGCCCTACTGTGGGGACTTTGGAAGTAAACATGAAAACTGGGAAAGCATCAGCAGACCGTCCAGAGCCATTGTCTAGGGGCACCATGGTCCAGTAGGATATTAAAGTCATGTATGAGAAGGACTGGATCAAGGTAGCTTCCAGACCACTCCTTCATTTTTCTCTGGAAGGGAAAGTATGCCTTTGTGTGAAAGGTCACTAAGTCAGGTATGACTGATGAGTGAAATAATAGGATTGTCACCCTCTCCTTGGGCTTTCCTTTTTCTGGCATGAACTTAGGAAAATAATGTCTGTTGTTGTCTGTTGTTATCTGTTGGCTTGCTAGCTGTTTCCTCACTGGACCAGAAACTCCAGGAGAAAGATGATGATGCCATACTCAGCCTCCATGCGAGCCTAGCTCGTCCTTGGGCAGTCAAGCAGCATGTGGCCAGCACATCTCCACAGATCCTGGCAGTGCAGTGAAGTATCTCCAGGCTTTCTTGGGATAGCTCTACAGAGTTTCATCCTGACTGGACAGACTAGATATATCCCATCATTCCCTGGGTAGATATGTATGTGATGGTGGCATCTGCTTTTCATAGTTAAATCTCTGTACTCTTACCCTGGGGTCCTAGGTCACTGTATGATGCATTGCATATAGACCCATCCCACACAGGTTGTCCACTCTACTGAGGATGGCTGTGGTGCTGAGTGACAGGGAATGGGATGGAACATGTGGGGACAGATGGGCTGCTGAGATTCTTCCATTCTGCTTTCTTGTCTTTGGTCCCCAACTGTTGTCTTCCCTTTGCTTAGAGGTAGCCTCCCTGTATTGCCAATGTCCATCTCTTCTGTCTCGCTCCATTTTTAGTCCTCATCCTCATTCCTTTATGCTTGGTTCTATCCATTGTCTCAGAGATGAACAACTCAGCCATGCAAGTAGAGTTCCTGGGTGAAGAGAACCACAACTTTTTTCCTATGGAAACAAAGGCATAACCTCTCCCCCAATGCAACACATTTCCTATTCTGAACTTCTGTTTTGAAGCCAAGACATCCTTAAGTATACTGGGTGGTTTAATTTAGTAGTCCCTTCCATAATCCAGTGTCTCTCAGAAGCTGACGTTCTCTGTTCATTAACATTTAAAGATAACAAAATATCATACAAGGTCCAAACTTATATATTTCCCATCCTTACTTGGCTTATTCTTTTTATATTCTTTTACTCTTTTTAAAGACTTTATTATTTTAAGTTATGTATAATTGTTATTATGAAGATGAAGATGATGATGATGACTGTCTATACCCATTTTTCTACTGTTATTTCTTTAAAGTTTTCCTTGTCCTGTACCACTTTACAAAGTGCCTATAGCCATACATTTTCAGTGTTCTCTAAACTGTTAGCAGTGGCTAGCCCCTCCCTGGCTGGTACATGGCCTGATGGCTGGCTCCATTCCCTTTGGGTCAGTGAGAGCAGATCCTTATGTCACAGGCCCAGCCTGGAGCCAGTCTATCTGCCCCAACTCCAGTAGGTGCTTTTACCTGGTCTCCTGCCAGAGTAGCATGCTGCTTGCCACTCATAAACCCCGTTTAAGTGTTCGGTAGCAGGGCCTCTTAAAAGAGCAGAGCCTCTTTAACTAGAGCCTGCCAGAGAGACCGCTTTGTTGGGCCCTATCTATGTTGATATTTGAGCCTCCACATTGGACCCCATAACTGCTTGACTCCCTGCTATTTCCAGGTTATGGCATCCAGTCTCTCTTTTAGAGAGGTTCTAGAAACTTCTGAGTCTGATGTATCCCTGTGTATTGGTTTCCCTTGCTGTTTGTGTTACTTGGGTCTTTGGTCCAGCTCCAGACCCAAGTCTAGGCACCCACTTGTGCCTGGTTCTGCATGTCCATCTTCATGTCTATGTGCATGCTTGCTTCTCTCTCCATTCAAGTTAGAAACGGACTTCAATGTCATCTAGACTGAGGTTCCTAGTAGCCAGGTGTAGAAGTGAAAACTCTGCAAGGCAAAATGGTGACTCATGACTGCTACATCATGTGGCCTGTCCACATGGCCAGACCTCTTCCCAGCAGCTGGTGTCTGGGGCATTCCAACCTGACCAGTCCTGGAGTGATGGCCACTGGAGTTATGTTAGCATGAGAGAGTGGTAGGTAGAGTTTGGGATGTGTGTGTAGAATTAGGTATGTAAGTGGGGGCTGAGAGGTTGGGATGAAAAGGCATATATAGTGTGAGTAGGGCACTTGGGGGTTAGGGTCGATGTGTGGGTGTGTGGTATTGGAAGCAAGGGTGTGCGAGGTTGTGTGTGTGTGTGTGTGTGTGTGTGTGTGTGTGTGTGTGTGTGTAGGCATGTGGGACAGGCGGGGGTGGAGCTGTAGAGTGGGGTGCTCCAGTGTGTGCCTGTGTGGCATATGTGAGGGGGTGAGTAGTGCGAGCATGCATATGTTGGGAGGTTTGGGTAGAAGAAGGTGCAACTGCCCTGCTCCCCGTGGCTGCCCTGTCACAGCTGGAGGCAGGTGGGTGCAGTCACTCCTGTGACCTGCTGAGCTGTCCCACTGTGGGGTCGCAGTGCCCAACCCAGACTCCAGCATGACTCATTTTAACCTACTAGGAGAATCAATTTGCTGGGCTGCTGCATCATAGGTGCGTCAGTCTGCATGACTTGTTCTTACTAAGAACCTGGGGGAAATTTCAAATGCGATGTGTAGGGGTAGGCAGGAGATTGTGCCGTAGGCTGGAAAGGATCAGTTGCTCTCCCTCAAGTACCTGCGTTAGGCTAAAGGGACCCCGGCTGTCTCCCTAGACACTGCTCCACAGAGCAGACAGAGGCAGCTGCAGCCGCAGCATCCCCTGCAAAAGAAGTAACTTTCCAAGCTGTGCACAGCTGGGTGAGGGAGCCCAGAAGCCCCTCCTAGATGCCAGACAGCCTCTGCAGCAGTAACTCTTTGTGTGCTGTGGTCTGCCGCAATCTGTCTTGGAAGGACAGTGGCTTTTATGAATGGTAGCCTGGGAGTGGCCTAATATCTGGCTCCTGATGTCAGCACAGTGAATGAAACAGTTGCGGAGCGTAAAGCCTCTCCACTTGGGAAGCAGACACCTTCTGAGATTGGCTCTCCAGATGCAGTTGTCTATTGCTGACGACATCACAGGTCCCATGTGTCACAGATAAACCGTATATGTTAGGATTTCAGTGAGCCAGAAATTGAGGCTGCACGTGGACCAATGCGCATCTCTGACTCAGGCACCAGCTCCTTTTCCTGAAGCAGCTGCAGCAGCCAGCCAGGAGACCCTTTTCCTGCCAGGCACTGGGCAAAGGTGCTGGGGAGCTGTAGACCCAGAGCTGTGTGTCAGCCATCTGCTTAGCTGGCTTCATGTTCTGCTTTTGTTGGCAGAATTCCTTGCTGAAGCTCCAAGCCCTCGAATCTGATCTGTGCTCTGCGTTTCTGGCGAACCAGGAAGAAGATGGCCAGGTGCACGGAGTTAAGGACCCCACTCCAGCTTCCACCCAGAGTGTTCCTGCCAACAGTGACAGCATCGTGGATTCTGCAGGTAAGAGGCAGAGTCTGGGGATGTCCCAAACTGGTACTCTGGAGACAGCTCAGCCTCCCCTAGGACTCTGAGGGAAATGATGTAACATCAAAGCCCCAGCAGAGGGGATGGTGAGAGGGAACCTGAGGATTTAGGACTAGCTGCAAGGCAGACTTTACTTAGAGGCAGCCGAAAGCACAGGTCACAACTTCTTATCATTTTTCTGGTTGTTGTGTGTGGAGGAGTGATGTTCTCTTGCATTACTGGCTGTAGATGGTCTGTTCTGTCTTAAAACTTAGCATGCATACTTTTGAGGCACTGAGGCCTGAGTTCTTTCAACCCCACTATCCTCTCTCTGTTTAATTGACCATAGGATGATCATTAAATGGAGCAGGGGTGAATGATGTTTGGCTCTTCCCATCTGTCATGTATACTTGTTCTTGCTTCTTCTGTATTTTCATTTCAAAAAGTCTCAAAACATGTCTCTCTCTCTCTCTCTCTCTCTCTCTCTCTCTCTGTGTGTGTGTGTGTGTGTGTGTGTGTGTGTTGTTTCTAGTTTTAATCCCAGGGATGGCTGATTGGCTAGCCAACAGAAGGCAAATGAATGCTCTCAAGAGGAATTAGGGAGGACGGAAATACCAATTTACCTGAGTAGAAATGAAGAGGGGGCTTATCTTTCTCTTTACAAATAGGCTAGAGCCTTGCAGGCAGCTCCCTGAATGGGGGGAGGGGATTCGGAAAGGGTTTAGGTGAGCTAGCTGCTGGAGAGGCCCCTAATCTCCAGGAGTTGGAGATTGAAAATGGCAATTTGATTCAGAAGCACCAAACAGCAAGCAGTCCTTAGCACCTTCTGTTTGAGAGCATGTCCTGTGGTCAAAGCAGGCTGAACAGTCATCTGCCATGTTGGCATTTGTTTTAGTAACAGTGGCTGTAGGAGCTGCTAAGGATAGCTATCCATTATTTGTATTCTTATGACATGGGTACTGTCTATACATGTTGTGATTAAAAACCTACTGAAGTGAACGTGAAATTAATACTCAGTGTGAAGACCTGAGGCCTAGGGGTTCTCACTGAGAGTCTGTAAAACGTGTTCATGTATGTGGGTATGGTTTGGTCTCATCAATTTCTAAGTCACACTTACTCAGGAAGCCCGTACATTTATTTTATGACTCCCAGGTTCCGGTTCAGAACAGCAGTTTGTTTTTTGCTAATTAAAATGTAATTATATAATTTGTTTCCATTATTTCCTTCTCCCAACTCCTCCCACTTCCCTCTTAAATTCCTGGCCTCCTCTTTTTTGTTATAACTCCCCACCTCCTCCCCCACCCCCAACTTGCTGAGTGGATTTAGTATTGCTTGCATGTGCATTATTTCAGGGCTGACTCCTTCGAATGGGATAACCAATTAGGGGGCTCCTCCCTGGGCGAAGGGCTACTTTGCTTGCCCTCAACATCCTACAGTTGCCTGTAGTTCTTGGTCTAGGGGTGGGGCTGTGTGAGATTTCCATTTCTATAAATTGATTAGCAGTTCTTAATTGGTAGGAGGTGTCTATTTGGATTTATGGGGTTATTTTTGAATATTTTGGAACTGTAGGTGTGTGTGTATCTGCGTGTGCATGAGTATATATGTATGCATGCATACATGTTTAAGTCTCTGCTGAAAGGAGAACTACATAAGATTATCATAAATGACCACAAGTCCATCAAAGGTGAATGCTCTTAAAGTCTTACCCTCTAACCCATGCTCACTGTTAATATAAGAACGAAATCCACCCAGTGATTTTTTTTTTTTTTTTTTTTTTTTTTGGTTTTGTTGAGACAGGGTTTCTCAGTATTGCTTTGGAGCTTGTCCTGGAACTTGCTCAGTAGGCCAGGCTGGCCTCAAACTCACAGAAATCTGCCTGCTTCTGCCTGCTTCTGCCTCCTGAGTGCTAGGATTAAAGGCGTGCGCCCCTGACCCACCCAGTGATTTTTATAGGATTTCCTGGATATAATTAGTAACCAGTGACTACTAATAGTAAAATTCACAAGTATATATTGATGTCACTGTGAAAAGTGACTTCACTTTGGACTTGACTAGTCCATGACTTACATTATTTAAATTTCACAGCACATGGTTTGAAGGTCTGAGGGAAGAGTAGTAGTAGTTCCTTGTCTGGTGGTTCCCAAAGTGGTCTTTAGCTTGACTGGTGTGTTGTAAAGTTCCTACTTGCCCAGCAAAAATGCTTCAAATGGCTCTCTGTTCTGTGAAGCTAGTTTTAAACTGCATACATGGATTTCCTGGTATCCTGTAGGCAAGGTGTGTTCTCAATAGCTTTATAGAGGCTTCCTGTACACCATAAGCACCAAGGTTTCCCACATGGAGGTTTTTAGGCTTTACCTTAGACCAGTGCTTCTCAACCTGTGAACTTTGACCCCTTTGGGGGGTCAAATGACCTTTCATCGGAGGTCACCTAAGACCATCCTGAATAGCAGATATTTACATTGATTCATAAAAGAAGCAAAATTATGGTTATGAGTTAGCAAAATAATGTTATGGTTGGGAGTCACCTCCACATGACAAACTATATTAAAGGGTGGTACTGGGAAGGTTGAGGACCACTGCTCAGTCAGTCTTAGAAGTCCTAGACTCTGCATATTTTACAGTCTGAGTAACAGGATCTTCTAGTGAAGTGGATAATGGCTTAGAGAGACAATTTCAAGGCCTCTCTGACTATACTTTGTGTTATCAGTGGACCACAGGGAACTTATGACTTAGGATAGAGGGCCAGTCGGCTTCATTCATTAACAGGAAGATGAGAAAGCTATTCATGCACCAAGGTCACGGGCAGGTGTGATGGCTTGGCCAAGGAAGGAGGCATAGACAAATCTCAAGAATACAGGGGTCCCTGGAGTAAAGTAAATTTGAGAACATTGGAAGGACCATGAACTATTCTTGCTTATGGAAGGCTGTCTGGTTTGGGGTTAAAATGTCTCATGCTGGAGTCCCAGTCCCAGATAATCTTGCATTGGGCATTCTACCTGTAACTTGCAAAAACACAAAGTCTAAGGTAGAAACTGATATGGATTGAATCTTTGCATTTCCTTCAAGTTGAAACCTTATCTCCAGTGTAAAAGTCCTTGGAGATGGGGCCTTTTGGATGCAGTGCTCATAAACGGGCCACTTCCTAGCAGAAGAATCCATCCAGAAAGTTAGCTGACTGGCTTTCTACTATATTAGGGCACAGTGAGAAGCCAGCTTGGAAGAGGGCTCTCTCAATGGCTTGACATTGCTGGGGCCTTGACCTCAGACTACCACCTGCAGCACTGTGAGAAAGGAACTTTCCTCATTTACTAACCTCTTTGTCTCTGGGAGTTTGTCATAGCAGCTTAGACCAACAGAAATCGGTCTGGTAGATGCAGATCTACCAGATGTAGCTGGATCAACACTCATTGTTTAAGTAAATATTTCCAGTCTGGTATTAGTGAGTCTCTAGTCTGGTGTCACTGGGTGGAAAACGGCTTAAGGGTTGTCTTTACAATGGCTTTTCCTTCTTCAAGTATGGACAAGGGAATCTACAATGGTACCAGTTTTTAAAATAACTTTAAAACTATGGCCACAAAATGATAATTTCTTTGGGATTATTTTCCAAGTCATTCTTACCAATGAGTCATTTTTTTCAGCTTTTCTGTTATATCTGTGTATTCTGTAAAAACTCAGTGACAATTTGGCATTCCATGTGACTGAACATAACCCTTATTCTGTTTCTCCTAGGATGACTGACACAGTGAACATTCTGACACAGTAGACATTGTCCCCAAAAATAGCTGCATATCCATTGTTAGTTACAAATACTCTTTCAGCAGTATATGATTCCTTTTTCTAAGATCTTGATTTATAAGTTCTCCATTAAGACAATGATGTATACCATCTGTTTTCTCTTAAAGGAGTCTGTGTGATCTATAGGCCTTGTCTTAGTCTGAGTCAAAGTGAGCACTGTCTTCCCATTCCCACTTCAAGACACTGTCCTTGACCAGATTTGCAAATGATTTGGAAATCCCCCCAGTGAATCTCTAGATGACAGGGTTATACCTCAGAATACAAAATTAAATTGTAGGGATGGAGATAGATGTTGAACAAGCTTCCCCGAACTCAGTGCCACATCAGGGTGTCACAAAACATGTTCTTGGATTTATAGAACATAAAAGTATCTCAGGTGTCCCAACAGGTGGCCATCATCATTCATATGACTTGTTCCTTTATCTCTCTGAGGGCCAGCTTCAGATAGGCTCTGAAGTTTGAGTTAGAGAGGAACTATATCATTCCAACCTCAGGAGCTCACGTGATCCCCAAATACCTCTTAGATGCTTTATTAGTTATATGGTCATGTATATATGCTTGAAAAAGCTTTCTTGAACTCTCTCTCTCTCTCTCTCTCTCTCTCTCTCTCTCTCTCTCTGTGTGTGTGTGTGTGTGTGTATGTAATTTTGTTTGAGACAAGGTTTTTCTGTGTAATAATAGCCCTGGCTGTCCTGGTCCTCGCTCAGTAAGTCAGGCTAATCTTGAATTCAGAGATCCACCTGCCTCTGCATTCAAAGTGCTGGGATTAAAGGCTGGCATTTTAATATTTTATATATATGTATATATTATTGTGTATATATATATATACATGCACACTTATGTTTTATGTATATGATTATTTTTCTTGCATGTATGTATGTATGTATGTACATCATGTGTGCAGTGCCTATGGAGGCCAGAAGAGAGTGTTGGGTCCTTTGGAACTAGAGTTACATAGCTTATAAGCTGCCATGTTGGTGTTGGGAACTGAGCTTGGGTCCTTTGTAAGAACAGTGAGTACTCTTAACCCCTGACCTATCTCCTGGGGCCCTTTCTAAAGCCTTTGATCTCTCAGAGTGTAAAAAAAAAAAGTAAAAAGTAAATAAAAAACCAAGAAAAGGCTATTGCTGTGAAAAGTATCACTAATTTTTTTTCTTCAGTTGATTTTTCAGCTGGTCTCTATCTCGTGTTGCCTCTGTTGG